CCACGCAAGTGCAGTGGTTTCAAAAGCAGCCCTGTCTTCCACGTAAATCCTAGCAATTTCTTCAACAAAAAAGTGTCCTTCTCCTATTTGGGGGGCAGTAAACATTTGGTGTATTTCCGTCAGTACCTGATTACATATACATGTAAACACAGGTAAGCCCTTATTTAAACGGAATTACTATATTATATTCCCTAAAAGACAATAACGATTTATTTCTTTCATGTGTAAAAATACATCATTGATGCTGTTGTTGGTCCTGAAGTGAGTTGGGTTCAACATCTTCAGAAAAATGTTCCCATAAGTATTAACGTTTGGGTGATACACTTTTGTTTTGAACATCACCTGAAAAAAATCAGTGTTATTAGTAATTGAAATCTTTATTGACTAAATCCTAAACCCTAAAAATACAGCAATTTTAGAGAGCAATCATATGCTTCATTCCTTACCCTAGGTGGCGCGAAAGGGTAGTCAAGCGGAAAGTGAATGTCTACTTTGAAAACACCATTCTCATAGGGTGAACCTTTAGGCCCCGTTATGATAGCTTCCCAGTGATACAAGTCCTCACCCACAGGTCCTAATGAAATCGGCAAACCACTAATTAGGTAGACGATGTAAAAGACCGACCCTGTAAAACTAAAACTTAACTAATGCCCTATTTTCAAATTAACCATCAAATACCTGTACTGAAACATGGACTGTTTTTCCTCTCCACTTCCTTCAATTGCAATGAGATCACTTTCGCAGAGTACATGTTTAGAAAGTAAGTAACTTTTGCTGTTATTAACTTTTTCTGTCTCCGGAAACTTGTTTCACTGAAGAAGGCAGGGGACAGTTTTTATAGAGGACGACCGGAAAAACATTATAAAGTAAAGAAGGGAAACGAGTCGGTCAAACATGGCAACAGGTTTCAAAAAAGGTACTTAACTAGTTTTTGTCGTTTCCAATTTGATTTTTTTGAACTCAGACACTGGTTTCATTATTGCGATTTTCAAAATTGTAATGACTTGTTTTTTGAAAAAACCGTTTACTCGTGTTGTCCTGTCCTACAATTTCAATTCAAAGACACGATCATTGTTCGTTTTCTATATAATGTTTTCTTTCTCTGCTATAGAACCATGTCTTTGATAATTATTTTGATCCAGAACCATGTCTTTCATAAAGTTTTCTTTCTCTGCTATAGAACCATGTCTTTGATAATTATTTTGATCCAGATCCATGCCTGATATGTCTATATTTTACATCATTTAGAGTGCATTTTAGAGTCCTCATCATGTGTTTTCCCATGTAAATTGAGTCTTTAGGCATGAAAATAGGATTTAGGGCTTGCATTAGGTCCCAAAGAGTTTTGCATGTTTTGAGGTCTTTATCAGGTGCTTTAGGAGTCATTTGGAGCTTAAGAAGAGGAGCAGAGAAGAAGACGGTGAAGAAAACGGTCAAAAATGGTGAAAACCGCTTGGAGGAATTTCTCGGCCAAATCGCGTACCGGACGGACAGAAACCTCGGTCAAAAAACTTACCGATCGCTCATTACCGGTCAAAATCCTTACCGATCGTCCAACCTCGACCAAAAAGCTTACCGATCGTTCAGCACCGACCAAAGTCCGTACCGATCGACCAAAGTCAGCCTGGGTCGAAGATCAGGCGTTAATACCGCGGGTCGAGTTTTGGCCGAGGCGAAAGAATTTTTACGACCAAAAAGCTCACCGCGGTACACAGCCCTCGGTCATTTTTCTTACCGCGGGAAGCTTTTCTCGACCAAAATCTGTCCTTGTCTGCGCAATTCAAAGATCAGAAATCCGGGGAACCTTCCGGTCCGAATCAGTTGGCGGGGTCTTCAGCAAAGTTGGAGATAATAAAACAAAGATCCCAGAACAGTTGGAATCATCCAATTCGGACCAGTAGGGAGAAAGATACAGCTTCCGGAAGATACATCAACATTACGCGCATCCGAGAACTGAACGGCGAAGTACAAAGGTCACGGCGGACGGAGCCTTTCCGGACTAAACCAGCTTACCCGGTCTTCATCAAAGTTTGAGATCTGTGAAAGACCTTTTCAGAACAGTAGGGATCGCTCAATTCGGACGAGGGGTTTGAAAGAATAAGTCTCCGGAGTTCACATCGGTCCGAACAGCTTATTTTCCGGTGATTTCGATGCGGTTCAAAGATGTGAAGTCCAGGAAGACTTCCACTACCCAAGCTCCGACGGTTTCTTCACCAAAGTTCGAGTTTATTGAGTCACCTTGACTATGAAACTGGTCTCAGAGCATTCGGAGTCGTGGGTCGAAAGTTACTGCTTCCGGAAGGCGACATGGTCGATACGGGCCCAAATATGTTGCGATACGCGCTAAGTGTTTCTTCAGGGCTCGGCATCATTACCTCGACATCGGCCAAGTCAAGGCTCATATTTTGGAAGTATCCTGAGCTAGGCCTCGTACTGATACCTCGGCACGTCGGGATCAAGGCATGCACATGTAAGTATGGAGCTGGGAAGGACTAAGTGTTGAACATGCACCTCGGTGTAGCGACCCCGGCGTGCATGCCGGACCCTGTTCTCCCGAACCCCTCGACGTCCAAGCGCCTCGGCATTTCATGCCGAGGTCCATTGTCACAAGCCCAGAATCAAGAACAAAGCTGCTCAAGAACTCACACGTGAAGATGGATCAAAGACTAGGGTTCATGCATGTTCTTGACGTGTTCTTCACGAGATCTTCATTTTGATCTGGACTCACGTGCACTCCTCGACATGAAGACCTCGGCTTCACTCTCCGACACACCGTGGCACTCACCCATCAGCCCAAGAACGCGGTTCAGTACCCGGTTTGTTCCGGGCTGACCCGCGACACTTTACCTTTGCTATATATACATTTTGAGACTAAAAACCTAATCATCTTATCTCTTATCTGTTTTTAGCTTTAAGAACTTGCCTCTTTGGTACAACTTGATCATACTAATCTGATATCTCGTTTTTTGCATCAGAAATCTTGTTCTTTCTTTATTTCTTTTATCATCTAACATTAAACTCCTCATCATGACCAGCTACACGTCTTGCAAAGGACTTAGTGAGCTCGTTATGATTAGTGAGTAGTCGTTTAAGCGGCTTTAGATGAGTAGATTAGGGTGCTTTCAAGGTAGATTAGTGGGTTTAGGTGTCTAGTCTTGCATGTTTCATTCTTTAACCGACGAGATCTCTAGGCTGGATCCAAGCACATCACTTGAGGTTCAGATCTGAGACATATCTCGCATCAAAAGTGTTTGTAGAAATGTCTGAACCACTCGGTTAAGGGTTTAAGAGTCTTTCATCGCGAGAGTGATAGTTTGTTCTCTTAAATGACATTTTTGAACTGATTCTTATTGCTGATTGATTCGATGCTTCTCAAAAGACATTTTTGGTATGAAGGAGAATCAGTTTAGATGCTTAATACTTTCATGAGAAGATTAACATGCCTTGAGTTCAAAGTTAAATGAAACCGCTTGATGTTTTGATTCATTAACCAACTAGTTGAACTTGGAAGCACCCGAGTCAAGTATCTCGTCTAAAGTCCCTTGCTTTATTGCATATTATCATCATCTGAATCGTTTAGTTATTATTTGCATCCTGTCTCTGTTTAGATCTAATCATTTGCTTTACCTTTCATGCTTAGTCGTTTGTTACTTAGCTTAGTTCAAAACCTTCACATTTGGTCTTGACTTAAATGAACAAACATCATAGTCTAGTGTCTCGTTGACTTGTCTGGATTGATACCTCTTTGTGCTACTTCGACAAAGGGGATTGATAGCCCTGAGACATAAAAAAGTCCTATCTATCAATGCCTGTGCTAATTATTTTGATTCCTTAATAAGATAAAGCCTAAAGCCTTCATCGTAAACCCTAAGCCCTAAACCCTAAACCCTAAACCCTAACCCATAACATCCATAACATAAATTTATATGCTAAACCATATAAATGTAAACTTATACATAAGCCATAATGCAAATACACTATATGATGTAAACTGATTGATGTTGTCCACCATCACAGTGTACACAAACAGTGTCCACCGTCAAGGGTGTACACGCTAGAAACAAACCCGAAAAACATAGCAACATGTCCACCGTCTAAACCCTAAACCCTGACCAGTAAACATCATAAATTTCATAACAAATTAAACATAGTTCATGCCTTTCCAAGTTTAAATATAGGGAAACATAGTGTACGCTACAAACAAACCCAAAAAACAAAGCAACATCCCCACAAAAAAACATCAAGAGACACACAAAAGCCACACCCGGTCAACCCAATGGTTCCTTGCATTTTGCCCGGTTATGGCCGGCATTTCCACATCTAGAGCATTTGTTTGGCTTCTTTTTTTTCGCAACCTGCAACAGCGTATATCAGTAATCATTAATCAGTAATCAGTATCACTGGGAAAAAAATATATGTTTAGTGTACACTAACCTGAGGATACTCTCCTGCTGAAAGTTTTCTCTTCGTCGTAGACCTTCCTGATGGACGTTTTGCCTTAGGTGGCATAATATTAAGGTCACGCACCTCTGCTGGGATACGAATGTCGTCAGGGTCGGGCACTGGTAGGATTTTGCCACAAACTGTTGCACTCCAAATTGATTTCTTAAGAATTGGATCAACCAAACTGCTGTACTCCACTTGGCGAAGCCTAGCCGCGGCCATTGCATGTCGGCAAGGGTATTTCAATGTCTGAAACTCTAGACATGAGCATGTTTTGTTTAGGAGATCAACAAGCCTCCGTACACCGAACTCAGAACTCACTTCAACCTCCCACAAAGAAATGCCTTGAACCGAAAGTGCAGCAGATTTTTGCTGCTGCAGGTTCATTAACTTGTCAACCTCTTCTGTAATGTCACCATCCATCTTTTGAATGGTCTCTCTTCTGCATTCAAGCCACCTACTTAACATTCGCCTGATAAATTCTAGCATTGCAACGATTGGACTGTCTCTTGGAGCTAATAGTGCATTGTTCAGAGACTCTGCAATGTTACTGGAGGTCATATTATACCTCTGACCAGAAAAGTGTGATCTAGTCCACAGCGCAAGAGAGATTTTTCCATGTACTCCCAACAACCATAATCAACATCCTTCAGCCTTGCGTATAGTTTCTTGAAATTAGAAACTGTGAACGCTTCTCCAGCCTTTCCGACCAACCTTTTCTGACCGGAACCTTTGTATTTACCGTGAACATTTCTCTGGATATGGACAAGACATGCACCGTGGTGTGACTGTGGATACCATTTCTTTTTAGCTTTGGCAATTCCACCGTGCCTATCCAAGATAAAAGTAAGATCAGAGGAATCTGGAATTATTTCTAACAACTTCTCAAAGAACCACCTCCACGTCTTGTCAGACTCTGCATCAACAACGGCGAACACTATTGGAAAGACCTGGTAATTAGCATCTTGTCCACTGGCCGTTAATAGACAACCCTTATACTTACCAGTGAGGTGAGTCCCATCAACAACAACTACTTGTTTCAAATGTTTCCATCCAGATATACACGCAGCCAATGCCGTAAATACGGACTTAAACCTGGTAATACATTTTCCTTCTTTTTCATCTCTCTCGCTCTCGGTTATCAAATGCGTTATGGTGCCGGGGTTAGCATACTTGAGCACATGGAGGTAAATCGGTAATAATTTGAAAGAAGTCTCCTCTGTTCCGTGAGCAGAGTATATAGCCAGCTCCTTAGCTTTCCAGCATTTCCAGTACGAGGCTGTAATATTATATTTGGAGAGAACAATCGCAGGTAGCTGACTCGCACGTGGCCCAACTATTGCATTCTCATACTTAGACTTCAGCAGAGCCGCCATGACTTTAGAAGTAGCATGTTTTGAAAATTTCTTTCTTGTATCCCGGTGGCATGTATGCTTCAAACACGCCTTCCTCACCTCATACAACGCCGACTCGCCAACTTGACACCCCAACACTCTCCAATCACATATCTTTGATGGACATTCGGCGACTGTGTACTTCTTCGCATTCTTTTTGAATTTGAACGTCACTATATTCTTCAGCGCATTGATGGCCAACATGATTTTAAAGTGTTCCTTGTTCCTGAACTTTTCCCAACCCATATCTCTCCATCTTCATTTGACAAATCAAGTTCATCGAAATCCCCTCCCATTTCATCAGAGACTGGTGCCACATCTGGAAATCCATATAGTTATGTACGTTTAATCGCTTTCTTCAGCTCTGCACCGCCATTCAGACGCCCCCAACAGACATCACCTGTCGGAGTCTGCACAAAATCATCATCATCTCCATGGGGAGCCAGAACATTCTCACATACAGTCCTCTTTCTTCCAGGAAAATGAATAGGACTCTCCGTTAAGACAATGGAGTTGTCCATATGGTTTGAATCACTCGGCTCACTTCTGCGAGTACTTCCACAACCGCCTGAACTACTAGAGTCATCCTTATCCTCATCAAATCCAGGTTTAGAATGGAAACCCTTTCCATCTTCTAGTACGTAATCATTCCACCAGTCAAAATCATAATCCGGATCATAATCATCATCAGAGCCGTGTGCGTCATCGTCAACATCATCAGCTTTCTTCTCTTCCGAATCTCTCGCCTCGTCTGATTCCTGGGACATTTTTAATTCCAACTCAGGGTGGTCATCAGAGACAGCGTGACTTGGAACATCCGGTTTTACATTAACGGAGGTGTTAGTGCTGGCCTTAGCCTCTACTTCTCTGATTCCTGGGACATTTTTAATCCCAATGGAGGATGGATAACAGAGACAGCTTCAAGTTGTACACCTTTGGAGGTGTTCATTGCGGCCTTTGCCTCTATTTTCTCGGCATGTGCTATCAGCAAACAATCATCGATATCTTCATCATCTGCTTCATCATCGGGTTGACTAGACTCTGCCGAAGAAGAGGCTATGAAGTTTGTTGGCCCTAAGGACTTTTGCCGTTCCCTCGCAATTTGAACTTCAAGACTTTCCTTCCGTTTCAATCTCACCATTTTACCATTTACTGACTCCTTGAATGTGACAAATAAATTTCACAGACTTGTCAGACTTATGCAGCGAAAGGAAGAATTTGTACTCTCGAGGAGTAACTATTACACGTGGACAACTCCCATCACCATTAAGCTCAGCTAGAACATCATCAAACCAGTAGGAAATCTCCACCGAAACAACTCTCGTGTCTAATCCGAACTCATGCGCAATCAGATTTCTCAAATCATCTGGTCCGGACACATCTTTGCAATTTATGCACCTGCCACGACGAGATATGTCCATTTTGAAATCCCATTCTCCTGTATAGTACCTTATCCACGTTCCCGCCATAACAAGAATGAACGCATCCACTGCAATTCGCGAACACTATATCTATAAAACTACTGGCAAATAGCGAACACCAGACCGAAAAAAAAATCGAAAATAACAATGACAAATCTATGGGTGTACAATAATAGGATTAAGTAACTAACCGTGGTTGTTATCCTCTAGATCATCGCATAATTTCCCCTTCAATTTCAACATCTTCTGGAAAGGGAAACTAGGGTTTCTAATTTGGTTAGGGTACTTTGTTTCTTATTTTAACCAATTTATCTCCATTATCCCTAATTAACCACAATTTTTCCCGACAAAATTAAAAAGGGAATGGGAAGGGTAGTTTTTCGTATAATTACTTGGGTAGTTTTCGGCCCATAACCGAGGTCCAGTTAGGTGGTTTTTGGGAATTTCATTCCTAAATTCGAAATCAGGCCCAAAAAACGACCCAAACACGCGCGTGAGTGCTCTCTTCCCGGCTGATACGCGCGCGGAGATAGACTACGCCTGGGACCCATGGTATTTTCTGCCTCTTTCTCTCTCTGAGGAACAGACTACTCTATCTCTCTCTCTCTCAGAAAGAAAGGTAAGTTTGCCATTATGAAAATATGTCCCTACCCTGACTAATTAAAACTTAAAACTTCCTTTTCCTCAAATTAAAACTTAAAAACGTCCTTATTTTCAAAACAACCCTAGAATAAATATGATCAACACATCCTCATTCGGTAATAATATATACAAATATTCACATAAATAACATATAAAATCCCAAAGGAAAAAAGGTCAAACTTCAGTTAGAAAAGATGAAATACTACTAATTATAAATAACAAAATATGTAAGGCGATGATAATAAACAATGTATTTGATAATTTATAAGTTTGTTGTATAAAGAAGAAATCTATTCTATTAAAACAGAAGCACATTTAGTGCTTGCATCCAAATACTCCCAAAGTTTTTTTTATAATATTTTATTTTATTTTTATATTTAATTTTCGAAAATTAATTATTAATTTAGATATTTTTAGATTTCCTAAAATCTAGGTCATCTTTAATTCAAATTTCAAATTATTAGAAATTTAATTAAATTTAGTTACAAAAATTTTCATTCAATTTAATTTAAATTCAAAAAAATCAAAAAAATTATAATTAAATTTTATTACGAAAACTTAGATAATAATTTTAATACTTTAGAATTTCTTAAATACAGGAAAGATTTAATTTTAAATTTTAAATTTAAATAATATTTTTATAAAAATGCATAGTTAATAAATATTTTATCGTATTTTATCATAAACAATCAGTCTAAAATATCATATATTTGAAATTAATAAATATTTATATTATACAATAATATGATCGAGCTGATTAGAGTTATATATATATATATGATTTGATACAATTAAACTAACAGGTTAGCCCGTTTTTATATATATATATACACATTTTGTAATAGCACAAATAGTAAATAAATATCTTATTATATTTTTTCATAATCAATTGATCCAAATATTCTATATTAGTAAATATTTATAGGGTTATACAATTATAATTATAGTCTTATACGGGTTAGTTTGTCAAAACATATAAGATATTAAAAATGATTTAAGACAACTAAACGGATGAATTAGCAAATTCATAGATATAAAGATTGTTTATGTGTAAATTTAAATTCACATAATAACAAAGTTTATAATTAACATTAGATCAATGTATACTTAATTAACGTATACTTTTATTCTACTAATATACAAATTTTACTGTTTAAAATTAAAATATGATAATAATTTTTTTATTTAACAAAATAAATAACAAAAAAAAATTATATCTAAACAAAAAAGATAAATGCAACTTATATTAAAAATAAAAAATAAAACATTCCCGTGCGGATGCACGGAGTTAAAATCTATTTATGAAATAAATTTAAAAGCTGGAGAAACCAAAGGGGTTAGGCTTTGAGCTGTGAATGAGCTGTCTCTCTTCATTTATATTCTCCACCTCTCTCCTTCCACACAACACACCAACAAAGCTCCTCTTCTCTTCCTCATATCTTCCCCATATTATACATTTCCCATTTTACCCTTCCTTCTCCTTTGAATTCTCACCCCATTGCCACTCACAGTCAGATGTCTTGTGCAGTGAAATGAAGAAGACGAAGACTCAAATCATCCTCCTCTTCCTTCTCCTCAATCTCTCTCACTCTCTCTCCATCTCTTCTCATGGATCTCTCTCCGATAACGAAGTCCGTCACATTCAACGCCGTCAGCTACTCGAGTTCGCCGAGCGCGGCGAGAAAGTCACAGTCGATCCTTCTCTAAGCTTCGAAAACCCTAGATTACGAAATGCTTACATAGCACTTCAAGCTTGGAAACAAGCAATCCTCTCCGATCCTTTCAATTTCACGGCGAATTGGATCGGATCCAATGTGTGTAACTATACCGGGGTTTTCTGTTCGCCGGCGCTCGACAACCGGAGGATCCGTACCGTCGCCGGAATTGATCTCAATCACGCCGATATCGCCGGGTATTTACCTGAAGAGCTTGGTTTGTTATCAGATCTCGCTTTGTTTCATGTAAACTCGAACCGGTTTTGTGGTACTGTACCGCACCGGTTTAACCGGCTTAAGCTTCTATTCGAGCTTGATCTCAGTAATAACCGGTTCGCCGGGAAATTTCCTGCTGTTGTTCTCCGGTTACCGTCGTTGAAGTTTTTAGATCTCCGGTTTAACGAGTTTGAAGGAACTGTACCAAAAGAGCTTTTTAGCAAAGATCTAGACGCGATTTTCATAAACCATAACCGGTTCCGGTTCGAGTTACCGGAAAATTTCGGAGATTCGCCGGTTTCCGTCATCGTCCTCGCGAATAACCGGTTCCACGGTTGCATCCCGTCGAGTATGGTGGAGATGAAGAATCTTAACGAGATCATCTTCATGAACAATGGGCTTAACTCTTGTTTACCGGCGGATATCGGACGGTTGAAAAACGTGACGGTGTTTGACGTCAGCTTTAATGAGCTTGTGGGGCCGTTGCCGGAGAGTGTAGGAGAGATGGTTTCGGTGGAGCAGCTTGATGTGGCGCATAATAAATTATCCGGGAAGATTCCGGCTAGTATTTGCCAGTTACCCAAACTTGAGAACTTCACTTTTAGTTACAATTTCTTCACCGGAGAAGCGCCTGTGTGTCTTAGATTGCCAGAGTTTGACGATCGGAGAAATTGTTTGCCGGGAAGACCTGCTCAGAGGTCTCCAGGGCAATGTAAAGCGTTCTTGTCTCAGCCGCCGGTAAATTGTGGATCGTTTAGTTGTGGCCGGTCTGTTCCGTCTCGTCCTCCGGTTGTAACTCCGTTACCACCTGTTTCGCAGCACCAA